ACCAGGATTACATCAGGGTTACACCAGAACTAAACCAGGATTAAACCAGGACTAAACCAGTAACAAACCAGTGCAGTGGTCATAATGTTATGGCCGTTCTGTGTGTTTGGTAGAAAAGACGTACAATTCCATACAAAAATCTTCACTACATTTACCATATGTGCTGAATGACTCATGCTTTTACCCATTTGACAAGACACGACAACAGCTGCTAGACAAGAGAAAAAACTCCAACATGGCAACCCAAAATATACAAACCACCACTTCGCATCACCTCGTCTTTGAACACATCTTTGACTTCGTTCAAGCCCTGTTTAAGTTCATATTAGAACGAGACCTACATAGAGTTCCAGTGTATCTTCTATGTAAACTTCATTTGGGGGTAAACATTTTCGTGCACCTTTTTGTGCCGTCAAAATCATAAAATAAAAACATCTAATGCCCAAAAATACTTAATTTAATCGATATATTCTCTCCAATAAATAGACTTTAATTTAAAACTCTTCAAAAACACTCAGAAAAGGTGAGTTTGGTTATTGACTACCAGCCCTTCATCTTTAGGCAATGCACAAATTGTCCTATGATTTCCTAAGTGCTAAAAAGGCCCTTATTGGAAAAAAACAACACAAACATAAATAAAATACTGTGCAAAAGTCTTAAAGGAATCCATAAATAGTAGTTCTGTAATGACTTTCACAATACGCATTTCTTACGGGATTTATTTTGATATTTTGTGGAGACTAAGAGAACTGTGAGTATGTTGCTTTTACTTATTGAAAATCCATGACAAAACATTGGTTATGTCATAATCCAAAGAACTAAGATTTTGTGTTTATTCAGAGCTATTTCTTCATGTAGTCTACACTAAAAGAGAGCAAGGATCAAGCTCTCTTTTTCTTTTTTTTAGCTCATGTTGCACCATAATGAGCTCTAAACCGGAAGACATTTGGAAACATGTGGACGACGACTTCCTTTAGGCTCTGTTGGCGAGAGTAACTGCCAAAATCTGGGAGAACTAAGGAAATGTCCCAGTTTTCTTCATCTAAATGTCATTGTATCAGTGGCGGGAGTCAGGGTCTGCAAGTTCTTCTCTGTTGGCCTAAAAAAATCACTGAATCACAGACTGATGTTAATGATATTATTATTAAATAATTCCAAATGTTCTGTCCTCTTCCTTTCAGAGTTTTTCTGATGCTTGTGCTGCTTCTACACATGGATTTTCATATTAAAGTTTTTGACCAATCACATTTCAGCCGTCACTTGTTGCCAGGCAGAGTCAAAATCAAAGAAAGTGTGCCTGAGGCCTTCACAATCTGTTCTGCAGGAACTCGAACACTAAAGAAATGTCCATGAAACTGTTGCTTCAACCAGTCAGATTTTGAGTTGGTGTCACCAGGACCTTTAGCAGCGAACGACGTCATCGGATTCAGAGTGATTGGACAGTGTCGGGAATTACACCGGAAGTCGTCATCTGCATGTTTCCAAATGTCGTGAATAGAGCTTATAATGCATTCAAGCAAAGAAACTTGTAATTTGGGATATGGTGACAGCCCACGATATTATTAAGAGACAGTCCAATGAGGTTCATTTGGTCTTCCGATAGTTATGTTCTTAGGTTCTTTATTCAGACCAAGAGTTTGTTTTCATCCCTGACAGTTTGTTCTGCTCCCTGCTCTTCCTCAGAGTCTCATGATGTTTCTGTGACATGTCGTTCAGCTGATTTAAACAGGTTTTGGTGCTGTCTTCCTATCGGTGGAGGCCGGACGACAGCGCCACCTGCAGTCTCACTTCCTCAGGACAGTATCCCAGGTGTGTGAGAGGAAAAAGACCCCCTAACCCCGGTTTATCGTCCCATGGGTATGTTTCCGTATTTCAGTTGCCTCTTTAATCTGATGTTTATTTTCCTCTGTCCCAGTGATGTTTGCTCCGTCCCACTCCATAATGTGGCTCTCTCTTTGGCCGATTTGATCATCATCATTGGGACAGAGGAAAATAAACACTGTCGCTTGGTTTAAAGAGGCAACTGAAATTAACTGAAATCTGCTGTACAGTTATAATCTCTGACACGTGTGGATCATAATTTTATAATTTAGACGTTTTAAATCTTAACAGTGATCTAAAATGAGCATGGCAGATTTGTTTTCACTTGAACCAAAATGAGTACGCAACGCTGTTAAATCCTACGTGTATCATCGATTAAGAAAATAAAATTAGAGGAGGAAGTAAGTAGAGCAGTGGGCGTGAACTGTGAAGGTGAAAACGGGGGCAGATCTAAGCAATAAAATCTTGAATAGAGGAGAATAAATATTAGCCAACCTGCACAAATCACTCTCAATACAACTTGTAGTGGGAGAATGAGAAGGGGAACAACTGTAACGTGATTAAAAGCTGTAGTTGATTTTTTAATATGTCCTTATTAACTCTTTTCAGTATGACCCGGAGTCTAATTTGAATAATAATCATCAGTCAGGACTGTTATAACAGGATTAAAACCTCGTAAAAGTCTGTTTTGCATAATATGTCTCCTTTAAAGTGGAACTAAACTCTATAAAAACACATTTTTTACCTTTAAAACTTTCAATCATCTGCTGTTTCTTGTCATTTTTGGGCAATTTTAGTGCAAAATAGGTCAATATGGAACATTCTGGTCAAAAACGCGGCTCTGCAACTTCAAGTACTACGTGACATCACACATAACCTCCCTGATTACTCCCAGGGGAGTTTAAAGTGTGGAGACCTGTTAGACCAATCACACTGTTCCTTATACCTCTCCTCTTTAGTCCTCCAGACCTCCCCCCTCCTCCCCCTCACTCTCCCCTTTAGTCCTCCAGACCCCGCCCCTCCTCCCCCCTCACTCTCCCCTTTAGTCCTCCAGACCCCGCCCCTCCTCCCTCCTCACTCTCCCCTTTAGCCCTCCAGACCCCGCCCCTCCTCCCCCCTCATGCTCCCCTTTAGTCCTTCAGACCCCGCCCCTCCTCTTCCCCCCTCACTCTCCCCTTTAGTCCTTCAGACCCCGCCCAGTTTATCAGCTCTACTTAAAACATGTTTGTGGACAGAGTTTCGGCGTTTAGTCCCACTTTAAAACCTTAAAAACCTTTGCACAGTAACTCAAAAAATAAATAAAAAACAACCAAAAACATTGACAGACTTCATTGATTCAGTAGTTACTAAATATAACTCTTTTCAAGGACTTCAGATCAGACTTTTTTCCTCGAGTTTGGCAGAAACGTGTAAAGGGCAAAGAAAACGGAACAGTTGTATCCAGGCAACCGCGAGCACGATTTCAACTTTCACTTTCCTCCTTTCAGCTCGAGAAGATCACATGGTACCACTTTACAATAATTACTCTTTCATTAACCTTGATAAAGTATGAACAAAGACTTAAAGGACTTGATTTGAATGAACAGGCTTAGTATTTGCATTGTCATGTTACTATAGAATGTGATTTTCAACATTAAATCAGTAATAAATTACTACTTTCTTTCATTTTCCCACATGGCCTTATATCTGTGTAATTCCCTCAGTGGACCAGGTCAAAGGTCATTCTAACACTATTCAGGAAAGTTTCATTTCTGTCGTGTCAGTGGGACTTTTTTGTATTGATACCCGCGAAAAACGAGTATCTAGTTTCAATAATTCAATTAGTATCAGATTTATGATACTTTCGACAACCCTCCTCTTACCCTAATTCCTTAAAGCAGACATGTCAAACTCAGGCCCAAGGACCAAATTTGGCCCGCAATATAATTATATTTGGCCCACGAGTTCATATCAAATACATATTAGAGCTAAGTAGGAAAAAAAAAGTAGGAAAAAAAACAGAGGCACTCAAAAAGTACAAAATAATTAGGCTGTTTGCCCTGATGAAGCAGAAGGGCCGAAACGAGTTGGCGTATTTTAACTCTATCTGCCATGTGGTATTAAAGGCTTTTAATTATGTTGTACTTTTTGAGTGCCTCAGTTTTTTTCTTACTTTGTATTTGAGACTGATCCCTACACTGAAGACACCAAAAGGACAATTCTGCACATTTTTTGCATATCCAAGTAGCACTCCTGCCCCAAAGCTTTACATATTAGAGCTGCCTGCCGGCTACAGGCTATAGACACATTATTTATTTAAAATTTTGGGCAACACTTTAGATTAGGGAGCACATATTAAGAGCTAGTTCATAGTAAAATGCATAACAAGTGCTTAATTACATCTTTGTTAGTATTTGTAAAGTACTTTGAATGCATTTTGTCTAAGGCTGTATTTTGTGAGTAGTAACCCATTAACTATTTTCTTCCCATTAAAGTCGTGGAGATTACAACAGATGTTTCTGTGCGTACACTGAAATCTTAAGAAGCATTAATAAGTGTTTAACTAATACCACCTAATAGTTAAATAACAGCTAAATGGCAAAGTGATTACCACTTAGTTAGTGATTAATGTGTGGTCCCTAAACTAAAGTGTTACCAAATGTTGTTATTATTTTATATTCTGCTTGTTCTGGATTCAGTGTTTAAGCAAAATAAAACTATTATTAAACATTTATTTTAATAAGAAAAGGTTTAACATCACACATCACGAAAGAACATGCAGATGTTGATGAAATGTTTGAATAAATATTTAGTTTGTCCCACAACTTAATCCCAGTTTTTAATTTTGGCCTCTGTGAATTTGAGTTTGACACTCCTGCCTTAAAGGGTGAATTATCTGCTGGAGATGTTTTTGCTTTGCCTGGAATGTTCCGCAGTATGACATTAAAATGATCTATCTTATATTTATTCAGTCACAGCCGTTTCTATTGTTACCTTGAAGTAAACATGTTAGCACGCTGGGCAGGATTGCCACTCTGCCGCTCTGACTTGTAATCTAGCCAGATTAAGCCAGTCTCCATGACGACAGATGAGTTTAATGCTGTACTGTGGAACATTACAGGTCAAAAGCAAAAGCATATCCGAGGAGTATCCAAGAAGTTCCACACTGCACTGTTATTAGTGATGAATCAGTCTTAATGAACTATTTCTTCTTTATTCATTAAGTCTTTGTTAAGCTTTATTAAGGGTAACTAAGGTGTAAATATTATAAAGCGGCACCAATTAAATATATAACAGTTAATGCATGAGTAGTACTTCCTGTGTTTTACTTGGTCGTTAAACTTTGCAGTTGCGTTCTGTAGCGCTGTGTTTGTTGCGTTGGTTGCGTTGGCCGGTGTGGACTCTGCTGTCGTCCTCTGGAGACTTGAGGTAAAGCAGAGGCGGGATAATCATTGAAATAAAAAAATAATAAAATAAAAGAAGTCGTTTTGCTGAAAAATAAAAAGCGTCCGGTGATGGTGGAGTGTGCGTGATTTCCCAGAGTCCTTTGCTCCACACGCGTCGGATCAGAGCTGGTACCACTTCTTATCTTTGTATTTCAGCATCATCTGGAAAGACAACAGGACGACACAGGCCGGACCACAGAGGAGCTCAGGTTAGGTTACATATATATTGCAGAACAGTTAAATTAAAGGTTCAACATGTAACTTTTCTGGTAGATTACTATAGACTTTTTTTTAGACTTTAGATCAGGGGTGCTCAATACGTTGATCTCGATCTACCAGTCGATCGCCAAGGTCGTGTGGGTAGATCGCCGTGTCTCATCTCGGACTCGCGTTTGGACTCGGTCTTGTCTCTCACTCGAGGTCTGACACTCAACAAGTGTGATCATATTTCATTCCGGCCGCTGCTGTTGGTAATAAACTTGTAGCGGGTGCAGGAGCGTGTGGGGCGTCTCAGTGCGGCCTGTGCGCACATTTGAAACCCGCGGAGACTCTACGGCGCATCACAAACACACACGCTCCCTATGCACGGCTCGTCTGCAACAGCGTGTGCCCTCGTGTACCAGCGTGCATCACAGGGCAGGTTCAACTTCCTAAACATCCTACCTGTCCATCTGCCTCACGTCAGCACGCCGCCCCTCGCCTTTTCACGCTCTCGCTCCTTCCTGCGTACAGCGAACACAAGCCCCTCCCACAGTGCGGCTGATTAGAAGAGCAACACCAAACGTGAAGCAAAAACCAGTCTAAATTTGTGTTCCAGTGTTGGCACAAAGCAGGTCTACAGCATAGAGCGGATCTACAGAACAGACCTACTGCCACATTTGGCTGAAGTTTGTCTAACAAAAGTGACAAATGCATCTGTGTTTGTCACGATGTGCGTTTGGTTTGGTAAATGTGCAGAGGCTGGTAAATATCACTGCAAAACCAGAAAAGAATGAAACTCCAGTTTGGAACTTTAAAAAACAGGTTTAAAAATCTTCCTTCACTTTTTTCAAAGTTTTGTGTAAAGTGCCTGAGGAAGTTCTCTTAAAGAAGAGGTTCTCAAACTGTGGGGGAGGGTCCAAAAAAGGGGCACAGAGTGTTTCAGTGCAGTTTGTTTGACTTTGTATTAGGTAGATCATTTTTGACTTGATCACTTTTAAGTAGCTCACATGCTGAAAAAGTGTGAGCACCCCTGCTTTAGACTTTTACGGCAGTTGTTTGCTTCATGGAGATGTTGTTGCTCGCTGAATGTTCCAAAATCTAGTATTACAAACTTAAAATATCTCCATGAAGACTAACAGGCGGCAGATCCTCCTGCAAAAGTTACACACTGAAGCTTTAATTGCTGTTTGAAATGAATTCGGACAACAGTATTTCTTTCCTTTATTATTACACTGTTTTCTGATCTGTGTTCTCATGTTGTTTCCTCATCACAAACACACTTGGTTTTGTTTCATTCACACATGTTGAACTCACAAACTCTACATACTGTATTTAGGCTGAGTTCTGTTCCCCTTTGTGATGTCATGTGGTAATACAGGAAGTGCTCCACTGTGTTTTTAAAGGGACAGTCCCGAATTGTGGACATTGGTTAACTAGAAAATGAAGTCCAGAGTGTTGGAGACGTGTGGATACACTTTTTAAAATATTCCATCCAGTCCTTGTATTTGCAGAGGTCACTGGTGTTAGACTAGTGCATGTCAATGGTCATAGTTTATCCTGCCACTAAAAACAGTCTTACCCACTCCACAAAACACCCCAAACTAATCTATGATTACACCAGACTGTCCATGTCAATGTCTGTGTGGATAAAAAATGTTTGAAATAAAACGAACCTTGCATCGCATGAATCGTCACATTGAGGGACTATTTTCTTAGCAGCAGCAGAATTATACTTTGCCGTTAAGATAGGTGCTAGGTGATATCAGTCCGCCACTGTCAAACTTTCTATGAGGAAGTACAACTCACTGCTGCTGCTCACACAGAGATCCTTCGAATACAAGGAGAGTTTTACTTCTAAAATGATTCTATTGACACAGACATTCACATGGACAGTCTGGTGTAATAAGAGATTTGTTTCAGGTGTTTTGTGGAGTGGGTAAGTTTTTTAGTGACAGGAGAACTATGACCATTGACATGCACTAGCAAGGCAAGGCAAGTTTAATTTGTATAGCGCAATTTGTACACAAAGCAATTCTAAATGCTTTACAGAATAAGAAATACATTAAAATCACAATGAAAACAAATCAAAACATAAATAATCATCATAAAATTAAAAAGAGAGAGAGACAAGTGAGAGAGAAAAGTGAAAACCTTTCAGTCATCTGCACAGATAAACAGAACCGTTTTGAGTCTGGATTTAAACAGTGTCACTGTAGAGGCCTGTCTCACTAGCACCAGTGACCTCTGCAAATACAAGGACTGGATGGAATATTTAAAAAAGTGTCTCCACACGTCTCCAACACTCTGGATCACGAGGAAATGAAGTCCTATGTCTGAAATTCCAGACTGTCCCTTTAAACTCCACACACCTTTACTAGAGCTGGGGTCTCCAACTGTTTTCTCCAGTGAGCTACTTTAACAAAATGAAAATCTCAGCGAGGTCTTAGTTTTTGCAGTCACAAGAACCTGAGCCTATAAAAGAACCACGGCGAGCCTTAGATGAAGTACAGTTAAATGTCTATAAAACATAAACCATTATCCATTTATTAGTGCAAAGTTAGACATCAAAATGATACATGCACAATGGTAAAGGGCATTTCATTTATCATTTTACTTATGCTGAACAAGTAAAATGATGAATACGTGTCATTCGCGGAGAGCTACATGTTGGAAACCCGTCCACTAGAATAATTTGGATGATTTTTTTTTCTTGGAATTGCCAGTCTCTACTGAACTAAAGGTAAAAAGGAGCTGTTCACTTGAAAACTACCGCTTCATGACATCACAAGGTACATTTAGATTTTTGGAGATATAGACAGACTAATAATAAAGAGTTACTCAAACATGTGTCAGTGAAACAAAACACAACTCCAAGTCTGTTTTTAATGAGGTAAAAACATTCCAATATGACTAAAAACTCATACAACCCCAATTCCAATGAAGTTGGGAAGCTCTGTAAAACTAAAAAAAAATACAGAATACCATGATTTGCAAATCCTTTTCAACCTATATTGAACTGAATAAACTACAAAGACATGATATTTAATGTTAAAACTGCAAATATTCATTTATTTTCAATTTGATGTGTGCAGCAGGTTCCAATACAGCTGGGACAGGGGCAACAAAAGAATGGGAAAGTTGGGGAATGCTTAAAATCCACCTGGAACATTCCCCAGGTGAACAGGTTCATTGGAAACAGGTGAGTGTCATGACTGGGTGTAAAAGGAGTTTCCCTGAAGGGCTCAGTCATTCACCAGCGAGGACGGGGCGAGGTTCACCACTTTGTGATCAACTGTGTGAGCAAATAATCCAACAGTTTAAGAACAACATTTCTGAACATATAATTGCAAGGAATTTAGGGATTTCATCATCTACGGTCCATAATATCATCAGAAGATTCCGAGAATCTGGAGAAATCTCTGCACGTAGGAACGTTGGAACGTGTTGCAGACATCAAATTGAAAATGAGCAAATATTTGCATAAAAACAATAAAGTTTATCAGTTTGAACATTAATATCATGTCTTTGTAGTTTATTCAGTTCATTATAGGTTGAAAAGGATTTGCACATCATTGTATTCTGTTTTTTTGTTTTGTTTTTTTGAGTTTTACACAGCGTCCCAACTTCACTGGAATTGGGGTTGTAATATCGGACCTTTAAACATAAAAGAACCAGGAACTGAATTTGATTCCCAGCTCAAGAAATTAGGTGAATGTCTCTCCTCACTCTTCACCTGCTGTTACTAAATGAACTGTGTCCAATAAAGCCAAAAAGGCCCATTAAGAATAAGTAAGTAACAGTAAAATATACAAATCACTTCTGTCTATCTGAAGGGAGGATACTACTTTAGGAGGACTAAATATACACGACTTTTCAAATGAACACAAAAACAAAACATACATGGTTTTAAAGGTGCACTGTGTAACTTTTGGGAGGGTCCGCCACCTGCTTGTCTCTGTAATGACATCATTGCTTTATCTGGAATATTCCACAGTGTACAATTAAAAGTATCCATCTTGCATTCACTCAATTAAAGTTGTTTTTCTTACTCAAAAATACCTTGAAAAACAACTTTTTTTTGAGTGGGGTCACCTCTCCACAGATCTGGCCTGTAATTTAGCTTAGTGGCGTCACAAGTCTAATACCATATTGCGGCACATTCCAGGCAAAGCAACAACATCTCCATGGAGACGAGGGATGAGCGGACCCTCCACCACATCACCAAGGTAATGAAAGATTTTAGTATTTGAAATGTAAACTTATCCATTTTGTATTAAGAAACTGTTATATGGTTGAAATTTTAATATTTTTGTATCTTATCAGACTCCAGGAAGAAGCGCTAATGGAGATCCTATCAATAAACAAACCATAAAAGTTCCACAGTGCACCTTTAATGTTGCACTTACATCGTGGGCATGTTTGGAGAAGGAGTCCGCGCTGGCCATCATGGCGGCCGTCCTCTCCTCGAGCTCGGACAGTTTTTGCCCCCTCTCGTCCAGAGCGATCCGGGCACGCGCCAGGTCCCCCACCACCCCCGAGGCCGCGCCCTTCATGCCCTCCATGCTGCCCGGGCCTGGGATGTGCTGAGCCAGGGTACGGGAAGCTTTACCTGCTGCTGTCTCTCCAACTGTAGACAGGAGGAGGATTACAGTTTGGTAACAGGTAGATAATAGATAACCTTTTGTCATGTCATATGAATCTGTATCTGTGCGCCGCATTCAACATAAGTCATGTTTGTGAGGGCGGGTAGTGACTGGTCCCACTGGTCGGTTGGGTGTTGGGTGTTGGTGTTTTACTCACAGAGGTCTTCTCGGTCCAGGGACTGAGCTCCGCCTCCAAACAGCCCTTTAAAGAAGCCTCTGTTTGGAGCCTCTGGAGTCTCCACTGGAGTAAACAGCTCACTCAGCATTTCCTGCACACAGATACAGGATTTAAGTACAAGACATCGTTATTAAACACTCAGAACACTGCCCCCTGGGCAGCTGTGTACCTGCAGGTTGTCACAGGTCTCTTGGCTGTAGGTCAGTCTCTGGACCTCGGTGGGAGACGTCAGGTACAGAGCCTGGCCCAGGTTTGAGAAGCAGAAGGTCCGCGCGATCCTCATGTCTGTGAGAGGAAGGTAGTTCACGTCCAGCAGGGGGCGCAGGCTTGGCAGACTATAGAGAGGCACAAAATAGCATTATTATATATTATATATTCACACTGTGTAAAAGCCGCCACACACTACACACACTCTGTCTTACATGATTTTTAAACATGCAACATAAAGCGCACACCACAAACACAAGGAGAATATTAAATCTCCATTTTCTACAGACTGCAGTGGGATCTGTCTGTGGACCACAGGATATAAAGTTGTGAGGCTGTGATGGCGTCAGCTGTTTCCTGTCTACAGTAAAACCAGTCGCTCTGACACTCTGAAGTGTTCAAAGATCAGACTCTGCACTTCTAGTTTAGATACAAGTCAAAACTGTGTTATTATTATTTGTGAAATGTGCTGCAAAACTTCAGATACAGGATTTTTAAAGCATAAAAGATTGGAGATAAAGTCCACAGGAAGTAGAGTCACCATCACAAATCTGTAGCTTCACCTCGATCTGTGCGCGTCCGAGTGGATGTAAACAAACACACAAGAGGAACCAAACTCACCTTTTTATTAAAAAAAAACAAACCACACTGGATTCACAGTGTGGTTTTGTGGGCTGTTATTGTAGTGTTGCTGATGTTTGGTGGTTATGATCTGACAGAGCAACTCAGTGTCACACTGACACACACACACACACACACACACACACACACGAGAGGAGCGGAGCGACTTCATGACCACACACAAAGACACAAAGTCGGGTAACGCCTCTCCAAACTTGGGGACAATCAGCCATAATCATGGGAATTGTCCTGTAGTGTGTGGTTGCCTTAAGGCAACACTGAAGCCCGCAGAAGAACAGTTCTTTAAAGCTGTTCATCATCTATTAGACCCATGCCTGAGACAAATCCTGTTTGTGTTCAGAGCTGTTACCTGAGGGCCATGATGTGCCCGTTGGCGCAGAAGCACATGAGGCAGATGGCTCCGCCCATATTGACCACGTCGGCGCGCAGCACGAAGGAGGCCTCTGTGATACTGTGTTTGTAGAGTCGTGTCTGAGAGGGCAGAGCCAGGACTTTAGCCTGTTTCTCTGAACACAACACCAAGAACTGACTGTCCTGCCCCTCCAGAGAGCCAGGCGGCGACGGCGGGCGACGCTTCTTTATCCTCTCCTTCTCCTCGTCTGAGGCGTTGGGGTCGTACCAGGACTCATAGGCAGGGGACAGCAGAGTGCCGCTCGCATCCAGAAGAGCCATGGTGAGGATGCCTCCTTTGAGCTGGGAGATGGTCCCTGGGAGAGAAAAAATTCTAAATTAATACACTGCTTTTTAAAAAAAAAAAAAACTTTTTTAATCATTTAAAATAGTCCCAGACCATTTTAGAATCACAACAACACTAGTCCTAACCGATGTCCTGAACCGATACCAGCCCCCTCGCAAATGTTTCTGATATTACAAACACAGTAAATACAGAGGGTTTAGTCTCACCACAGGAGGAGACGGTCAGAGGCTGCTGTAGTCTCTGCTCGGGCACAGAGGGCACACCCAGAGACAGCATCATGACTGCCCCCTGTGTGGTGCCCACCAGCAGGCAGGGCCCCAGGGAACTCTCCCCTTTCCGGCCGTAACTCTCACAGAACACAAACGCACAAACTGCCTCTCTGGACTCCCGATCAATACTGGTGACGCTGGAGCTGCGTGACCGGCTGAAAGAGTTGTCCTTCGCATCTGGAGACACAGGAAGAAAAGAGGGAAGATAATAAAGAGTTTAAAGAAATGTTTATGTAATGATGTAAAATGTGTCTTGCCCCAGTGCAGATGTATTGTTAAAGCAGCTCTTAGAATCAAAATGAGACTGCTGTGTGCTGACGGGAAAGACACAAGAGATTTAAAGGGGCTGTGCAAAACAAAATCCAAACAAACATATAGACTCAACCAACATAAGACCAAGCCCATACTGAAGCCGTGTACCTGATTTTTTTCCTATTTATTAATTTATTTAGGGCAAGTAAACGTTTTACGTATTTTTACAATGGAACATAGTATCATCCATATTAACATCAGTGCAATCGTACCAACAGAAACAACAAGAACAGCAACACAAAATCTGCCCAAAAAGGAGTGGGAGGAAGAAAAACCTATTTAATCCCACCCCCATCTTTTAATTACATTTTTTCAGTTTTATCTTGCTTGCTTTCATTTATTTCAGCCAAAAATGTCTTGCCCCAGTACAGATATATTGTATAAGCACCTCTTGGGGTCAAAATGAGTCTGCTGTGTACTGTCTGCATCTAATTAGAAGGCTTTTTAATGTCCAGTGATCAGGAAGTGTGGGTTGGCATACTAGTTGTTGTTGCTTTACAGTCACAGCGAAATTCTGATCTCTGAAAGCTAAAAAGGTAAAAGCTGAAAGCTGAAAGGTAAAAGAAGAATAACTCTGGACCACTGCAAACAGTTTGTAATGAACTAGTTCTTTTTTCATGTTTTAAGACTGTAAAAATCAAGTACAGCTCCTTAAAAGAGGCAAAAAGTCGACCTCATATCCTGGAATGTTCCACAGTATGGAAGTCCATTGAAACAAGCAAATGACGCCCCCGAACTCAGTTACAGGTCAGTTCTGTGAAAAGGCAACGTCGTTCATGGTAAGAATGTATGTTTGGAGCAAATGCATAGGTAAGTTTAATGCCATACTGTGGAGCATTCCAAGCAAAGCAATAACATCCCCATAAAGACAAACAGGTGACGGACCCTCCCAGTCAACTGGGAGGGTCCGTCACCTGTTCAGAATCACTCCACACATGGACAAAACCAAACAGGCAGGTTAAATAATATTAAAAATATAATTATTGTCATCACTTCAACAGCAGCTGAAAAACAAGATTAGGCCCCGGTTAAAGCTTCCTGTTAAAAGATTAAAGCTTCCTGTTAAAGACACAAAAAGCCCTTTGAAAACATGAGATTAGTGCCATTTGAACTGATTCAGGGTTAGTACAAGGTCCAGACCAGACCCAGACCAGAGTCCAGACCAGAGATCAGACCTGAGACTAGAGCAAGACCAGAGCAATATTAAGTCTAGACCAAATTCAGATTTGGTCCAGGTGTAGGAGGATTTTGGGATTAGACCAGTTTTGGTTAAGTATCAAAATCTAATCAAGTCTCAAGATTAGACCTAGTCCAGACCAGAGTCCAGACTAGAGACCAGACTCAAGACCAAGATCAGAGCAAGACAAAACCAAGCCCATTATAAATCCAGACCCAGATTTGGTCCAGGCGAAGCTGGGTTTTGGTCTGAAGTCTAGACCAATTTTGGACCTAAGACCAAGTTGTGAGAGACATCCCTGAACAGATCCCGACCAAGATCATAATCTGGAATCAGAATCATTTCAGAAAGAGTCCAGACCAAAACCCAGCAGAATTTGGGGTTAGTACCAAGCCAAGTCCAGACCAAATCCAGACCAAGTCCGGACCAGAGACCAGCTGGTCCACTCACTGTTGGGAACAGAAACAGCTCTAGAGAGCGTCTTCCTGTGCTGGCTCGTGGGAGAGACTTTATCAACCTTAAAGCTCCCCCTAGTGGTGACACTGCGTTTCTTGTCTGCTGGGGGTGAACGGGGTAAAAGGTTTGGCAAATCAATTTAAGTTCAACATTTTAAAACATATCAGAATTCTGCAAAAACCTGTAAAAAGTTGGTTATTTCAAAGAAAAACATGAAATTGTCAGTTTCTTACCATGGTCATTAGAGGAGCTAATTTTCCGAGACATCTTTGCTGAAACAGAAACAAATATTCCCGTTTTATAAATAATAAAGAAATAAAATTATCTGAATGATTCACTGAATTCTACTGATATTTTATCTGTTTCAATTAAGAAAGAATTGTAGAGTGGGTAAGAGTGGTTATAGAGTATGTAAGTATTCAGTATTTTCAGAAAATGCATATAATATTTTGTGTTAAATGATATAATAATAATAATAACAATAATATGACAGGCAGGTTATGTCTTCAATAAATCTGTTTTGAATTTGAACAGCTAAGGGCAGAAGTGAAGCGTGTAAAAATGTATATAAGCATTTTGAACATGCAACGCCAAGAAAGCCACTTCTGTTGTCGGCAAAACATGGATTTGTTACTGTTCATCCAAAAAGGCGTGTGGTTAAAGCTACCATCTGTATTTCATTTTTTCTACAGTAGATGGCAGATGTGTCCCTGAACTGGCACCACCCTCACTCTCACCTGTGCTCTCTGCTCTTCTGTCAGACCAAAGCTGTCACACGAGCAGACAGCAGTAACAGCAGTAGAAAGTGTCAGTGGTGACATGTAAGAATACAGGGGTGGGTCGGCCAGTTTAATTACAGCTGGCAGCTTTAATGTATTGTAGCTCCATCTTTATACACTAAAGTTGTTTTGCTGAAGTCTATAGCCACTCTATAGAGAACTTGAGAATATAAACGAGGATTTCCACAGACCAAAGTGACTGGAGCCAGAAAACATTGAAAAGAAAGAAGAGCCGGAGTGCAGAGCCCAGAGCCTGTGATGGAGGAAAGCTTCACCTAAAGACTCAGCTCTGTGGGTTAGACCTGACACAGACGAGGCAGAGTTTCTACACAAGTTCAGCTTTTAAATCAACTTCTTTCATAACGTTTTGTGGTCACAGTTTGGAAAGCAGTCAAAGGAGACACTTTACCCACCGACCTACTGGATGACTGAATGTGGAGTGTGTCAGATTGGCAGCAGGGCCAGTTAATCAAATGTGAATTGAGATTGAGATTCAGTCACTTCTAATTATAAGAATATGCTCCACGGGGAGGTCCACGGCCAATCATCCGTCAGTGAAAGCCTGTGGTTTGGTTGCCTGGTAAATCCAAACTGATCTGTTGTTTTTTTTTATGCAGACTGATATCAGGTTGGTCCCCACTCCCTCCAGAACCAAACATGATCGTCCAATCAGATTTGTTTACTTCAGTAATTCATGTGAAATGAAGGAGCTCATTGGTCTCCATAACTTTCAAACAAAATCACATTTTTTTCTCCTCAGATGAAGATGAAGGGAGTGCTTCATTGATTCTGCAGAAATCCGCCATGTCACATTGAAATAAAAGTTAAATCTATATACAGCTAAAGTGTTTTTTGTCTGCTATTCCAAACTGAAAATGCACCAACAGTGTTTCAAAGAGCAGTGTAATATGAAACACCGTTAAACAATGAAAAACCAAATCAAGACAATTTGAAGTTGCACATTTTCTGTGTAGAAAATCTGCCTGGATACTGTGAAGAAACCTTTTCATGCAGATCATTTCCATCGATCACTTCTCTCCCCAAACGGTGATTAGTGAAAATAAAATCATGAGACTCATTTCACAGCAGCAGAGGCACAGACGAGTTAGAAGCCGCCATCCAGAAAAAGAGAAATGAAACAAAACCTGTACAATACCAAAGTCATTGGCAACGGTCCTGGAAAACCTCCTGCTTTTGAACTTCACTGGAAATAAATACAAAAATGAACAAAATCTAAAAGAAAAGTCTGAGTTTTGGAAATAAAAATGTTTTTGAACATAAAATACCCTTCTCAATGAAATTCTGTTTGCGGTCGTCATCTGAGTTACAGGGAGAGGTGGAGCCTACAGGAAATAATGAGTTTAATTATGTAAACAACATTATCAGAAAATCGAAGACAGCTTTTTAGAATTAGGGTTGAAAGTATCGGAAATCAGACACTAATTAATACTTAAACTAGTCTGCCTCTGTCTGCGCAGGTGAGGCTGCGTGTGTTGTCATGGAAACAGGTTGTGTGATCAGCTGCTGGACTGTCACGTGGCTCCTGGTGTGTGGGGTGAATGGTGTGTGGTGTGTGAAAACAGGACTGGCCCAAAACAGAAATAAACTGAACTAAATCTAGTGCCACTGGGGCAGTAACGTGTGAAAACGATCTGGAACAGCAGTGAGTATAGGTCTTTTAAACCAAAACATCATTTGCAAAACAATAATGACATGTATTGTGTCTATACGCAGACCACATACCAAACCTTAGTTAAAGGAGAACACACTGGCGGCTCTTACCTGACGTGGGAGACTTGCAGCGCTCCTCAGATGGATTTGACCCATCGTTGGAATCACACAGAGCTGCAAGAAAACCACAAGAGTTCAGGATAAATGCATTAAAATGTACTGTCAGGTTTAATATTCTAAAGCAGGGATAGAGTTAAATTGACCTACACTAGAAGAGGGTAAAAAGAGTCACTGGGGATGTTAAGGGATGTTCCTGGACAGAGGGTATTACTTTTGAGGCTCACTATCTAACTTTTCTGGTGGAGTGGCAGCATTTGCTTGTCTCCATGGAGATGAGATTTTTTTTAGCTTGAAATGTTCCACAATATCCCAATAAATGCATCTATGGTGACACCACCAGGCCATGTTACATGTCAGGCCTATGGAGTGGTGATTCCACTTACAAGTATGCATAGCATGGAAATTCCAGGTAAAGCAGTAGCAGCTCCATGGAAACAATGTGACCATCTACCAGAAAAGTTGCATAGGGTGGCTTTAATATTCTGCAGCCATTTATGAAAGTTTTCAATGATATTACGTAAGCATTTTAGACAAATTAAATGCTGACTGTAAGGAACAACATTATGTGTTTGTTTGTTTTTTAAAGTCCTGGCATTTTGATATTTTAAAATATCAGATATATATATTTTATTGTTTATATTTCAAATCTTTTTTTTTTATTGATTTTATTTTTTCACACATTTGTCAAAACTTGAATCCATGGAGAGGAGAGGAGGACGGGGCTTTGGGATAGTGGACAAAAGTCAGCTCTGTTCTGACGTAAACACACTTACGGAAATGAGAGGAGCGCAGTTTTTTCACAGACTCAGAATACAAGTTAGAAATGCTGGACATGCAAGACGTAGCAGGAATGTCTTTAACCACACGGGGGCAGCAGAGAAACAAAAAAGGGATGCAAAATAAGTGAAAAACAAGAAGAAACTCAGAACCTGCTGCCCTGGATACGCACACATCCAATCACTATGTGTTAAAGATGTATCATGTAACTTTTCTGGTAGAGGATCTGCCACCTGCTTGACTCCATAGACATGTGAGTGCTTTGCTTGGATAGTTCCACAGTATGCCATAACATAGACAGATAGATATGCAATAGATAGATCTGTTTAATGCTATACTGTGGAACATTACAGGCAAAGGAATGACATCTCCTTGGAGACAAACATGTGGCAGACACACAAACAGAAAAGTTGTAAAATGCACTTTATATATTGGATTTAAATCATGTTTTTGTATGACATTATTCATTTGTTCAGACCACAGTGTGACTAGTGGTGATAAAATACGTGTAGTCACAGATGCCCTGGGGCAGACTCACACAGATTCAGCTGAAAATCTGCACCAAGAGCCTTTATAACCTCTATTAACCACATAATCTCACAATTATACAGACATAAAAGAATAGTGTGAAGTATGACTATAGCAGCGACACAAGGCAAAATGTCCTCCTACAATATGTAAACAAATAAAAGTAACTTAAAACAACTTAAAATAGGATCAGGACTAGAATTCCCAGGTCACTAAGAACAGAAAACAGGAGAAGAAACAGTGAAATAAATGGATTTAGAGCACAAAGACAAAGTGATTAGACAGGACAGAAAGGAAACAGTAAGACCAACATCAAAACATATTTTCACTATTTAAAATGAGACATGTTATGCCTTTTTTTAAATATAGTTTTTAGCATAAAAGTTTTTTATTGTTGTGAAAAGGTGAATCCTATAATACTGAGAATGATTTTTCTGAATAATCACAGAGGTGAAAACAGGAATTTATATAGTATCTTGTATAACTGCCGTTTATACTGATTCTACTGTACTTTATTGTGAAACACAGTATTTGCTGTTGACTTTACTATGACGATAACAAAAAGTTATGAAGAGCACTTATAAAACCATCATGGTGAATAATTCGGATGCTCTGAATGCATAAAGTAAGTGAGGAAGAATTTTGGACCACTGCAAACTTTTTTTTTTACTAAACTAGATCTGTTTTCATATTTTTAAGACAGTAAAAAACTGGTAGAGCGCCTTTAAATACAGCATGAAAGAGAATTACTCAAATATGTCAATCAAAACACTATAAACGATGAGGGAACATTTTAATTACATGTTTAAAGTTTATAAATCCCCTTTACGTTCAGTGTTTTAAATATGACAAATGCAAACCTAAAATAAACCATTCAAATCTCTCTTTCAAAGGTCATTTTCACGGCAGCTTCAGTTCCGCCCGGCAACAACAATACTCTGAACTGTGTCCAAGTGAACAGATGGACCTGCTGTGAGCGCTGCCCCCTGTGGAGAGCAAGTGCTACTGCAGGGACCGGTGCCAAAACACACCACACTGTCTACAACCCAAACAGGCAAGACTAGTAGTAAAGTAGGTAGGGCACATAATAATTAGTGCTACTGTTGAGACTGAGTAGCACCAGTGTTTCATTTTATGAGCGGTAACAACTAATTAACTCCTATGTAGTCCTGAGTATCAGCATGCAGGGGGTTTTCTGAATGTATGTCTAAGCAGAAACGTTTTTAAAAGCTCTGAAAACTCAGTATGTACGTGATAACTATATTCTTGAACTACCTATTCCACAGCACAGGAGAAGTTTATTCTCCGTGGGATTTTCCTGGTTAGATACTAGTACAAGTCCAAAGTAGTTGTAGTTGCAGTGGCTCACCTGCAGAGGGCTGTCTGGTCTTCCTGGGGGAGCGGGGCTGGCGGGGCTCACAGGGGCTGTACAGGTCGGCTGTGCCCAGGTTCAGGAGCAGCGTCTTCTGCACAAAGTCCACCACAGCCAGACCACTGCTGTTCCCAAACACCACACTGGAACAAACACACAGACATTTCATTTTGATTACAGCAGGTTTACACTCTAATGAAGTCTAATATGAGAAAACAAGCTTTTAAATGTGAGTGATTACAAACACAACCTTTACATCATACAGTTGTGCTTTATAAGAGAAGAAAGCTTTTATTTTGATGCAGCGTAGCTTTGTATGATTTTCCTTTATATTGATTTTACTCAGTGCTGTCGCTCCGCACACACACATTACACTCAGCGCTTTGGGCACCAAGCGCTTATGGAGGCACCAAAAAAACCAGGCTCATAGAATCCTCTCAAAACTATCCATCCAAAGTGCGTGGAGAGAGGTGAGAAGTTGGTGCCAGTGCCAAGAGAATCCCCCGAAATCTCCCTCTCTCTGTCTCTCTTTTCCTCCCTTACTTTTTCTCTCTCTCTCTCTCTCCCTTACTCTCTCTGTCCTTCCATTTCTATCGCTCTCTCCCTCGGTGTCCGGACCCCGTGCAGCAGATAAAAAAGCGGGAAAAAAATTTCACTTTCAAATTCTTATTTAAAGATCCCTGATTGAGTAAATTCTGTTGTGCAATTATTTGTACTTATGTATGTTATTTATTAAATAAATGTGCACATTATGACTTAAAAGGGCACAGACTTGTTCTGTGTTTACAATGTTCAGTTCAGTGTTCTGTCTGCAGTCATTGCACAAATCTTTGTTCATAATAATGGTGGAGGCATTTATTTCTTAACCTTTTTATATAATTTATTATTTTAACTTTCATGTTTAGTGTATTTGTTGTGGTGTGGTGTGGCACCACAAAGCATTTGTGCTTAGGGCACAGAAATGGCTAATTTTCACCGAACTGTTATTTAAAGGTGCATGTCACTTTTTCTGTAGTAGGTCTGCTTTGCTGGAGTGTCTCACTGTACTATGGGATCACATATCTTGCAATTATTCATGTTTTATTGATAAAAAAAAAAATCTCATCTCTTCACAGATCTGACCTGTAGCTTGGACCTGCTTGTTTCCATGAATTGAGATTCATTTAATGCCATATTGTAGAACAACAAGTTAGTGTGAGAAGCTCCACCTGAAGTACACCTTCCCTGCTTTAGCTGTAGTAGGAGAAATTGAAGCATACTGCAAAATCCACACGGAAATGTCCAGGAATCAAATCAGAGTCCAGTTGAGAGGCGGGTACTGAGGACTAAACCCACTCATAACCTGCTGTGTCATAGTGTATACAAGCGTTATGGTGCACACTCACAGGCCGTAGGAGGAGTTGATGCCCAGGCTGGTGATGGGCTGAGGGGGCTCTCCATTCACCCAGACCAGCTGCACCACCAGCTCCACCTGGTACCCCGCAGACTGCTTCAGAGGAGACGAACGCACCCTGAAACACACACAAATATATCAACAGGTCAATTCTGTTATATTCAGTTAGATTCACAAACTGACTATAACAGAATTCAGTTTGTGAAATGTAAAAAAAACAAAACAAAACTCTGAATAGTAGAAAATAAAGCCGCAGTATAATGATACTCAAATATAAAAGTAAGCATCGCAAATTTAAGTCACGTTTAATCCATGTCAGATTTTCTTTAGTTCTAGCTTCGTCCTGAATTTAGTCCATTGATTTTAGTGCTGTTTAATCCTGGTTCAGCCCTAGTTTATTACTGGTTTAATCCTAATCTTGGCAGAAGAACACAAATTGGGAAAACATAAATAAATAAATACAAAATATCATATTTAACAGTAATTCTCCGTACTGTAGACAGGCTATGTTGTCCCTGGGCCCTGCGTCGGTGGAGTTGACTCCTGGAGGTGCAGGGGGGTCTTGGCTCTCCTGCTGGGGGCTGGAGGGTGCAGTGTTCTGGGGCAGAGGAGGAGACTGGTCCCCCCCTGGGTCTGGAGAGTCCACAGCACAGTCTGGGAAGTCACTCTGCATACGCACCTCCAACAACTGAGCAACAACAGAAATATATGTACATTATACCTTTATACCTTTTCATGTTTGCAACTAATCCAACACAGCTCAAACTGATCTACTCCACTTGCTGATGTCACAATGCGGTGTTCCTCTGTGTTTTTAAAGTCTTTACGTACAGACTTACAGAGCTGATACTGAAGTACTGAAGAGGACCACTGCTGAGCCACTGTGTCCATTATTGAATATAAATGGGTACTTGATGTTTGGGGGTTAGCGCCTTTTTTCTATCTCACAATGAAACACGCCTTTGTAGCAAAATCCAAAAAATATTTTCAAAAACAAATCAGTTCTTCAACAATTATAAATAAGCTTTTTCACAAAGACCATCCTTTTTGTGTAATTCTTTCAGTTTTGGACATTGGCACATGTTCAAAGTTTTTTTTCTGAAAAGCTGGATTTTACAAAAATAAGAAAATTACAATTATTAAATTTGTTCTGTAGCTTAAACCCTTAAACCCAGAGCTCTTCCTGGTGCACACTTGTCAGACGAGCTACATCTAGTTTTTGTGTAATTGGCTTTTTAAATCTGTGACTTTTCATGTCACACCACAGGACACCCTCAGGATTACAGCATTAAACTGCTTATATCTTTATTAGATTTAAAGTAGAGATAAAGGTGTAATATTATTAAATAATGTACACATGCTTCCCTTTATGCCACCACCTTTAAGAACTGTCTCTGACACAAGGAACTCATTCTAGATTTTTTTAAAGAAAAGTGTTACAGTCACACAGCAGGACACTTGAGTTTTTTGTGTGTGTTTTCTTGTCAAAGGATTAAGACTCTGACCTGTACTTCATCTGTGGTGACCTCCTGTTTGCTGAATCTGTAGACGATCACATGAGCGGAGACTCCTGCCACACACAGCAGCCTGCTCTCAGGACACCAGCTCAGAGTCTGAACAGCGAAGGGGTCCTCGTCCACGGTGTCTGCGCTCCCCTTCTCCTCTTTCACCCGCGCTCGCTCAAACACTTTGGCAGTTTTCAGCTTGTACAAAACCTGCAGCATTACTACAACAAAGAATCAAACATTATATCAGAAAATGCATGTTGTTATTTTACAGGCAAATGGTACAATGGTACTATGAAAATCAGGTGCAGGGTTGGTCATGTACATACAGGTAATATAGCCCCCATATGAGTCACTGTTTTTAAACCAATCATACATGGTGTGGAAGGAAGCATTATGTAATAATTTAAACTTAATGTGTGTGTCAAAGGAGAAATTCAATTTGTCAACTGAACAAACATTAATTTAGGTCAAAAATGTTCCGCAGCTCATCCAAGCTGCTTCTTCAGTTCTGCTCAGAATGCTGGAGGATACTTCCTTATATCTGTCTGCAGGGAGGAGCTCCATTTGCCTAGTTGACAAATTGAGTTTCATACTGTGGAACATTCTAGGCAAAGGACTAACATCTCCATGGAGACAAGCAGAAGGTGGATGAGTGTACTTGTGTGTGTGTGTGTGTACTTACACGCAGAAGCGTCCCAAAACTTTATCGTCCCATCAGCGTGCCTGGTTTGAGAAACAAGAAAAACTGTTTAAAAAAAACTGTCCTGTGTTTCTCTATTCACAATAATCACAAAAAGTGTATTATTTTACTCTAAGCATGTTTACAAATATAAAATGTTGTCTTGTCCACAATATTAAACGCAGGAATATAGTCTTACCCTGTGATGATAATTTCTGGGTAGCTCTGAGCCCCCTGACCCCAGTTTCCTCCACTGAGGGGCCACTCCTGAAAAGAACAACACAAAGAAAAATACTCACTCAGTTTTCTATGAGACAACTGCAACTGCATCACAGCTAGATAGAGACAAGCACATCCAGTAAAAGCTGCAACTGCGTGCTGGGTCCAAAGACAAAAACTGTGCAAAAGAAGAATGAGAACCACACTGCAGTTCTTTGAAGCTCCCAGATTTTTATTTTAATGACACCACAATGTGACATTTTTGGTCAAGCCCTAATACACCACTTTAAAACAGAGTGAACGCCTGTTTGTACTGTAGATATCATTCAACAATTGTAATCAAATTTGTTTAACATTAGGACTGATCACATGGTGGGTCAGGTGACTAGACCTGGGCCAAAACATATAAACAGGTGTGAGACTTAACAGATATGTTTGTTCCATTGTGGTGTTAACCAATAAAACAGGTGTGAGACTGAAACTTTCACCTTTCTAGAGAAGGGCTTGACCCAAAACGTCACATTGTGGTGTCATTAAAATAAACATTTGAGAGCTTCAAAGAACTGCTGTGTGGAACTTTTTGTTCTTTTGCATAATTGCAGATGCATAAAAACCCCTCAGCTACAACAGAACCTCAATGTTAAAAGTCAAATTAGGCTTGATATAAGCTTTAAGAAAGATCAGACTCTGTATTTTCTGTGCTATAACTTAAAATAATGTGTGTGTTTATATGTGTTACATGTGTTTGGGGAATTCATCTGTACTGAACACCAGCAGGGGGCAATAGGGCTTCATCTTCTGACTCAAAATTAGCCACATCATCAACCCAACTTAAGTGTGTCTTATGATTAACAACGTGGACAGGAATGTTGACTTTGCTTCTGTTTTGCTTAAATCAGTCTTGTGAATTAAATGCTGATGTTGTCTTCTACTGGAAACAATGAGTGTCCATCCAGTCCCTTTTAAATACATACATATTTATACGTATTTATTCATATTTTTTTAATAATCTTTTTTTATGTTATTGTTATTACTTTGATTCTATGATGCCGTGCGTACACTGCGATATTTTTGGTCGTGTCACTCAACCCCAGCTTAAACTGTACGAGTAAATCACAGGGTTTAAAAGTTCACAGTTCACGAATCATGTTCTCTAAACGAACCGATACTCAGATGAGACCTGTCTGTGCACACTGTACGTTCACATAACGACCGGAGTTGTTGTTCCGGAAGTAGAAAACCACAAAGAAGAAAACCAAGTAATTAGAAAACCACAGACGTGCGGAGACATAATGCTGATCCAATGTGCTGCCTTGGCAATTTGTGCCATTCTCTGAGCAGAGAAACCCAAAAAGAAGAAGCCACGAATCTGGTCAAAGAAATGTCAGCATAGACGTAGGCAGACGTGGGCAGTACGGGTTGTCAGTTCTTCAGAAGGAACTGGAGGTATGTAGCATTTTGTGTTGCTCGATTAGCTGCGCCTCCATGTCCTGTGTCCAAAACACTCACCGGTGCCATCGTCCTCCACAACCTCATATCCTGCTTCCTCTTCTGTGTCCGCACATGCTCAGTCTGACAGATTCTGGCAAATCGGCTCATGAAACGACTTCAACAGAGCAAAACTCTCACGAGAGGTGAAAGGATTTCAAACAAGTTTGATTGTCTTGCGACCTATGAATGCCAATCAGGAGCTGGTCGTGAGGTATAAATCGTTTTTTTTACCCCATGTTTACTACACGAAGCACGACACACGATGAAACCAAAACTCGACCCGATCCCCAGAACAGTCGCACAAGTGAAAAATCGGCTCAAAAAGGGTCAAAAATCGCACAGTGTACACCCGGCTTAAGGGACTGGAACGAGAACCTACAAACCTCCTTGATAATAATAATAGTAAGTATAACTGTGTTGTGTTCAGGGACCTCACCTTTTTGCTGTAGCCCTGCCTCTTCTGCCTGGTGCCCACAGAGTACAGCGCTGGGATGAGTTCTGCCGGACAGTCAGCGAAGTATTCACAGCAGGTCACTGGAGACTCGTGAACGGTGAAGGGGTACGGGTTCTCAAAGGCCGGGTATCTGACAGGAGGGAGAGATAGCAAAAAAAGAAATGATAAAAACCTTTAATTCATTCAAAGGCTGAAATTATGGAAGATACACTGTTTCATTTGACATTTGAATATTATAACATTGTAAAAACATTGTAGTAGTTTATTTTGAATTTCAGCTGCCAACTTGCCAAAAAATTCATAAAACGATTTTCATATAAGGAGCAAGATTAAGCTTTCAATTTTATCATTACTTCATGTTTTCTTAGTATCTTTTGTACTCTAAAAAGTAACTGCAGATGCCGGCTATTTCTGAAAGGCTCATCTTCACTGTGATTGGTTATATGAATAAAAATCATTCAAAAATGTTTTAAGGATCAAAGATTCATAGTTAAAATTCAAAATCTGACTAAAGAAATGAGCTTCTGTACGCAAAAAGTATTTCCTAATTATTTGCTTCTTAAAAATTAAAGGTTGTATGGAGGATTTTTTTAGTTTCAAATTGTCAATGATAGCATTATAGAGATGTAGTAGCCTTGTAATTATGACGACCAAAAAAAAGAGAATAAAAATTCATCAACTCTGGACGTGGTGGGGCTAAACATTTGCCAATAGATAACGACACTGCCTCGTTATCTGTGAGCTGACAGGCTGTCAATCAATCTCCCTAAGTTTCTAGTGTAACTGACTTGCCTGCGCGCTGCCGGTACGTGGTTTACGTACGCCTGTCACGCAGTCCACAGACGCACAGACGCTGTTTACTTCACCAACGCAACAGTTCTTAGCGGCTTTTTTGACCTATATCTTCCTCGCAGTTCGCACAAAGTTTGTTGCAATGGCGACAAGAATCCAGGAGCAGTTCGCCGCAAAAGAAAGTCCGTTTTTGAGGTCACTGAAAGAAGAAGACAAGGGGAAAAGCAGCGAAGCCAAACTAAGGTGATTCTTGGAGATTCATTCCAGTGATGGCGCGACTGCAGCAGATGAAGAGTCTAAAGACTGACGCATTGGTCCACAAATTACTTCTGGACAGGAAACTTCTGCTTATTACGAAAACGTACTTTATTTTTTATTTCCAAGAACTAGACAAATGTTTTTTAGGACACGAATGTGATATCCTATGTCTGAAAACGTAATTTTCAATGCAAAGAAAGAGTCCGCTTGCTGCTGCGTGTTGTAGTAATAGCTTCATTTGCACTGAATCTCCACGCACCTTCTCTGCACCCCTTACTGCTCCTGTCCCCGCTCCCCGTTTCGCTCTTCTCCCTGCTCCTCACTTCTTCTCTGCGCATGGAATCTTTGCGCACCGCTCCCCTCTCCTCTCCCTGTTCCATTCTTCTCCCTGCTCCTCACTTCTTTTCCACACACGAAACCTCCACGCCCCCCCTCCCCCCGATCCTCACTTCTCCGCCTTGCCTAACCAACACTGTAGTTAGTTGTTTACAAGTCATGTGCAGCGATGAGGACTTTCTGGCGTAAAGAGGAGGAGGGAGGAGGTGTGTCTACGTAGGAGCTGTGGGGGAGGGGGGGTGGTTTCACGCATGCGCAACATTTGAAAAAGGACAAACAGTCGCTGGATTTCTCGTTCCTTGGAAAATCTTCTATACAACCTTTAAGTATTCCCAAGAAATATTGTTGTATCGTATCGTCAAAAGTCTCACAATATTGTGGGTCATCAAAATATATCGAATTCCAAGTCTCTTTGCTTAAAGTAATAGTTATGGTGCAGCAAGAGCTTAAGAAAAAAAAAGAAAAAAAAAAGAGGGAACTACATAGACCATGATCCTTTGCTCTGTTTTAGTGCAGACTACATGAAGAAATAACAGTTCTAAGCACTTTCAAATCTTAGTTCTTTGGTGTAAGTCTTGTCAAGTAGCATATTCACAGTTTTGTTAATCTCCACAAAATATTGCAATAAATATCGAACAGTGAGACACATATCGAGAAAATATCATACAGAGAAATTTGGATATGGTGACATCCCTACTCACAAATCACTATACTTTTTGAGAAACAACTTTTTTGCCCAAATATTGTGTCATTTATTAATTACAGAAGGATTGTTCCGGGCTTACAGTGCGTTCTACTGTATATAATCTAAACACCCACACAGAAAACATGACATTACATTAGATTAGCATCATGGTGTCAGATTGTGTTCAGGTCCAGTCTGAAGCTACAGTAGCATGTTTAGCTCTTGTCATATTGGTTCAGTGTGTGTGTTTATGAAGCAGGCTGCACACAGCTCCAGCTCCACTGAATTTAAACTCATTTGAATTGCAGATTTCCTCTCGGATCAATACGCCTCGTCTGGTGCTGACTCACACGGGCCCACACAGCGTAATAACAACATCACATTTAGATTGACCACAGCGAAAGGGACTCTCTCAGGCTTTATTCAGACATTTTACACTATTTCCGGACACATCTGCTTTGTATTTAATGCAGTTCAATGACTCTATTAAAGATTTGTATTTTACATCAACATATTTGTGAAACAGAGAAGATCTTTGGTTAAAATAACATTGAAATATCTGCAGAGACTCACCCGATCTGTCCCAGGTCTATGACGACCAGATCCTTCTCCAAAAGAACCACCACAGCGTACGGCTCCTGGAAGTCTGACATATAAAACTACTTAGCTATGAGTTGAATAAATACTGCCAAAAGGATCATTTCATTCACCCACACTACATGTACAGTGTACTTAACTAGCATCAACACGTACATCTATCAGTATAAGTAAGATGTTCATCAATTTTACCAGCCTATGTCAGAAACACCAATTCTCATGATTTTGTGAAATCAGAATTGAAGCGTTTGCATGTGATTGGTTTAAAATGACCAATCACAGAGCAGCACAGTGGTTTGTGCAAAAGCCAGGGCTGAACAAGCCAAAACAAACACAGCGACACCCACAGACAAACTTCAGACACTTTTAGTAGACTATTTTGCTTTGTGCTCGTGTGGAGGGTGAGACACTGATCGTTGGTTCACTTTTAGTGAGAGCCATCCCAGATTCGTGTGTTCAACTCTGTTCAGAGGATACACAGATTCATCTGGACAGAGCCACGTTACAATATCACATAAGCCCCAGTCCAAACTGGTCTCTCATTGTTGTCATAAAGTCCCATGCAAAAAGACATTCAGACAGGGACTGGACGCTGCTTGAGCTATGAGTATTAGACTTTTAAATGTAATTATGTTGAAATAATTGTCCTAGTTGAATACTTGAAGTGTTTTAAGTGTATTTTGTCTCACCATTAGGATAGGGTGTTTCACAGAGTGTGAGGAAGTCCACTATGGGCGTGTCCATCTCCAGGACTGTGGTGCTTTTCCCGTGCATCACAGTGAGACAGGCTCTCCTCCTGCCCACCGTCTCATAGGACAAGCCCCCAGACAGCACCATGAACGGGTCACTGAAAAATCAGGAAACATACAAAATGTGAACACACAACAGCAAATGACACAGCAACAGGAAATGAACATGTAATGTTTTCCACATTTACAGATGGATCAGACATGAAAAGGTCAAGTGTAGTTACTTCCAAAGAGAAATTATTAAATAAAATAAATAAAACATTGTGAAGTGGATCACACTTTAGTTATAATTTCAACAAAATCTCGCCTTTTCTCGTTCTCGTGGGTCCAAACTCTTGGGAACTGTTTGGTCCCACCCTTAAGTAACATCATTTCCTTTAAAAGAACAAAATATCCTGACCTCTAGAAATCGAGCAGATTCAAGATTGGGGCGTGTGCATTATTTTCTCAGTTAAAGTTTCAGTGTTCTCTCAAATGTGAATGCTAAAAGCTAAAGATGGGTTTAAAACCAAGCACTTTCAACAGAATCCTACCATCAAAAAATAACTTGCAAATCTTATCTCTATGCGTGTGTAAAAATTGTGATTAGACATGAGCCTCTCTGACCCTCACCTGGTCTGCTGTACTGTACTGTACTCTACTGTACTGTACTGTACTGTACTGTACTGTACATTCACTTGGACTTCTTGACACTTTGGACAGATCAGTCTCCTCTCAGACAAACACATTCCTGTTTATTTATAGACCCAGAACAGTTTCCCTCTTAAACAGGAGCTACGTGGTGACAGGTCAAATATACACAGGAAATACAGGAAGCTCAGAGCGTGCAGGGGAGGAGGGCAGAGAGAGAAGAGGGGAGAGGAGAGAAGAGGCACAAAAGAGGGGAAGAGGAGAGGAGGATGGGAGGAGAGAGAAAAGGGAAGAGGAGAGGAGGGGACAGGATGAGGAGAGGGGAGAGGAGGAGAGGACGAGAGGGGATGGAAGGGGGAGGGGTCTGGAGAGGAGAAGGGGAAGAGGAGAGAGGAGACGGGAGAAGAGGAGGAGCACTCACCCGGCTCGCGTCGTCTTGTACTCCACTTTGAGGATGGGTCTGCACGGCTCAGGCTTCTTACCGTCTTTGGGCTGTTTCCCTACAACACAAAACACACACACTCAAATACTGTGTGTGCTTTAGTCTGTCTGTCACTTTCACCAACCCATCACTCACACATCATTTCAAGTGGACATTTCATGCAAAATTTACATGGGTCTAAGTCACTGCAATTTACCCCTTATTGTTGTGTAGTTTTATTAGGGCTGGGCACGGTCATGTGTTCATTCTGCATTAACTAATGAATGTATTATTACCAACAATTATTTTTCATCCCTTAACACAGTTTTTATTATTTATTTTTTATTGTAAACGTCTGTTGCTCACTGGCTTTTATTTTGAAAAAGTCCATTGTGAGTGAGCCTAGAATGTTGCTTACTGCTGCGGCGCTCACAGGAAACAGAGAAAAGAAAAGAGAAAGAACGTGGGATAAACAAACATGGAGAAGGGTACAGAACTTTTACATGGCCATTTTCATTTTAAAGATCTTCAGACGACGCAGTCGACAGAGTCTTTTGTAACACTGCAACACTGAACTGTCTTATCACCGCAGTTTCACGAGTCTAAAATATCACCAAAAAGCAATGCAATACACTCGGCTGATACCGGCAAATCATTCACTGAAACAAGTGGAGCGAGGCTTCGGCAGACCTAGATGCAACTGGCTTCATGCAGAGGAGCAAAAAAAAAGTTCTAGGATTTGACAAACTGCACTGAAAGTGGCTTTTATTTTGGGTGAGATTCTCCAAAGGAAGAAGTACAAACATGGACTTTAGAGACCAGTGCCCTGCTGCTGTAGAAAGAAATGCTGTTTGCACAACACACGTATGGCACTTTCATTTACAGTTCCAATAAAAGTGAGCTATAAGCTACTTTTGAATTCATGATTGGGTTTTGTGTATACCATGCGATTCATGATTAATCACAGGAACTCACATGATTAATGTGATTCTTTTTTTTTCCCAGCCCTAATTTTATTTTATTTTTTTTGTTATTATGATGCCAGTTATGTATGTAAATGCCCCATAAAAAAACAATAACTCCAGGAAGAATGGCTGTGTTCCTTCAGCTGATGGAGGTCAAAATTAAATAACACAATACAAATACAAATACCCCAGATTTTAAGATAACAGATCAGAACCCAGCCCATAAACCACCACTCATGAGTGTGTATGTAGTCAAACTGACTTCACTACAAACACATGGGAGCATGAGGGCCGCTGCCAAATGGCTGCTAAAAGTATTTTTTCATAATTCATGTTTATTCTTGTCAGCAGGGGGCGCTCCAATGCATAGTGGATCTCCAGTGCCATCTCTTTGAAATGGAGACACTGCTTTAAAGTTGTATTACACAAGGATAGATTATTTTATGCCAAACATAACATGTGAAATGTCTACTTTAAAATGTAAACAAAATATCATTCTAGGAGTGGTACTAATATGAATGTCAACAAATGGTACAAAATACAAGGACGAAACCAAAACTTTCTACACAACTACCAAACTGAGAATGAAGAGTTAGTGTTACCGTGTGGAAGGGCATCTTGGTTATGGGGAAAAAATAAATAAATTGATAAGTGAAATCATGATTGTTTGAAAATATATACACGAACCTGGAGAGGACATAGACTAGACTTTTAATCAGTTATTAGGGTTAAAGTTAGTAATGTTTTGAAGTTCATTTCCTAAAATTATAGATGAAATCAGATTTTATTTCCTGTTAGTATCTGATTGGAGCAGATATTTGCTACTTAAACCTGATCTCTTGTTGGCCCATACCGTGTGGGGTGATGATCTGAGTGGGTTTGGCTGGAGCTCGTACGTTCCATGTGGTCAGAGTCCCATCAGAGTGACTGCAGACGAACTGTTTCCCCTCGTGATGCCAGGCCACGGAGTGAATGGCCTAAAGACACGAGACAGAGACAGAGTTTAAACAGAGCAGGAGACAGGTCAGAATCTCAGGTGGAGTTGCTGTGTAACTGTCAGATTGCAGATTTGTTGACCTGTTTTATGGTTCATATCTCTGTAATTACTGGGCCTGGGTCACATGAAACAAAAACTGGCGCCTTTTCTCTCTGTATAAACTAACTACAGTCAATATTGGGTCAGTATTTTCTTAGCTGAAAGGATTTAGAGCCATAAGTACAAGGACATTTTGCGGATCTAATCTTTAAGAAATAATTATAAGTTAAAGATTTGCTGATTTTCAGTTAAGATGTTTCTTTCAAAAACAGTAAATCTCCCATAGAGTTATAGAGTTATGTAGACCCTGTCAAGTATTACACAGAATTCAATTGTGTATACAACATCTTCGACACATTCAAATACATTCAAACTAGGCACGCTGATATTTTGAGAGGATTCTCTTGTTCTAAAGAATGGGACAAGATCTCACAACATGGAAAAGCCATAAGATCCACAGTCTCTGTAGAGTCTATACTTTAATACATAGTTTCCCAAAGACTGGGTCGCGTGTATGATCTACATGTAGGTCTGTGATAAACAGTTGTATACATGGATCTGTGACCTTATCGTTATCTGGATCTGGATCAGCATTTTGTCAGAATCTCCTGTCCTCATTAGGGTCAGTATTTCTCTGCTTATTCCTTTCACTTCTACATATTTGTTTGAAATGTGATTTTCTGTGCTCACAATAATGAAGACAAAACACAGAAACAGACTGAAGCTGCTCCTGATCTGCTGCTGTGTCTCCTCCTGCAGCTGGACTGAACACACTACAAAAACACACACAGGCCCAACTATCTCACTAGAAATGTTCAGATGTTAAGAAATGTTTTGTATCATGTCTTATCTTTCTGTAATTATTTTATTGACTGTTTTGTTCCAGTATTGCTGGTTCAACTGAATGTTGAAAAGAAAAAGAAATGTTTTACATTTAATGTCCAAATAGGCGACTTCTGGATCCTTTTATTGCTGCTTCAGTTTTTCATTGTTTCAAACTTGAGTAATACTAATAGTTCAGAGACACGATCACTCAGTCAACAATAAAATATGCTCATGAATGTTTAATAATGATCAAATCCACCTTTATTTTGTGATTTATGAATAATGTCTGTTGACTTGGGTCATGAAGGTTTGTGCCTTTTAAAATATGGGTCCCAGAAAACACTGGTTAAATATTATGTACATTTCATTAGTGTGCAACAGTCACAGTGTGTAAATATTAGGGTCCACCACCTGCTTCGTTCCATGGAAATGTTATTGTTTTGGTTGGAATGTTCCACAGTATAGCTTAAATCAGTCTATGAAAGGAAGGACGAGCAGGTTACAGCACTACGGTAGTCGCCCTATTCGTAGAAGGAGATGTATTTTTGAGCAATAGAAACATCTGTAATGAATAAATGCTACATGGATGTGTTTAATGTCAAACCATGGAACATTCCACGCAAAGTAATAACATCTCCATGGAGACACGCAGATGGCGGACCCCCCACCAGAAAAGTTGCGCAGTGCACCTTTAAGTCAGAGGTACACATGTTCTCACCTCGTCATAATTATATCGATAATCTGCTTTTTTAGACTTCAGGTCCCACAGCACCACGACCCCACACTCAAACCCAATCAGCAACTGCAGCAGAGAGAAGTAAGAAAACAAACCGATGATTTAGAACACAGTAATGTGTAGGGTTCAGTATAATGTGGGTTTAAAGGCGTTTTCAAAAGTGTTTAAGATCCTGCACCTTTCCTTCATCCATGGGGTTGTCACTGATGTGGACGACAGGCCCTGGATGCGTCTTGGTGGATCTAGACATTAAGTTTAGAAAGAGAAATGTCACCAAATAATTCAGTACGTAAAAATTTAAATTCCTCACTGATGAGTTTGTTACACATGAAAACAAAATAAAACATAATAAATAAAACTAAATATAATATAAAATGCCCTCACAGTTCGATGGCTTTGTTCCACATGATGACGTAGCCTGAGAGTGTAAAAGACTCCACGTTCACGATGTGGATGTTTCCTCTCTCTGTCCCGATGTACAGCCACTTACTCTGGAACGGCAGGTGGCAGTACGTGATTCTACAGGAAGAGAGGAGGGACAATTTTATCAACAACTATTTTATTAACACACTGAACACACGGACTTGTCAAAGCCTGATGTCATCAGATCTCAGAAGCTCAGCAGGACTGGGCCTGGTAGTACTTGGAGACCTGGAGGTGCCGGGAACACCAGGAGCCACATGGGGCCACCAGTGGCAAAAACTGTTGTTGTGTCCTTAGGCAAGACACTTGCCTAGTATGAAAGTGGTGAGAGTGTTGGTGGTGTCAGAGGGGCTGATGGAGCAGAGTAGCAGATTCACTTCCATCAGTCTGCCTCAGGGCAGCTGTGGCTCCACAGAGTGTGGAGTACATGAATAATGCAGTAAAGTGCTTTGGGTCTCTTGACAGGTGCTGTGTACTGTAAAACCAACCATTCATTCATTAATACAACATTAAAACAAACTAGAGATGCACAATTTGGGGATAAATATTTAACTGAATTATTTTTTTTGGACAAACATCTCAATTGTGATTAGATTTGCAATTTTGAAAATAAGATTGTGTTCAAAGTTCACTTTAAAGATGCACTGTGTAACTTTTTAGAGGGAGGATCTCCCACTTGCCTCTGTGATAAAAGACATGCACTCTCCACAGATCTGGCCTGTAACTTGCTTGGTGGTGTTATATGCTTGTTTTAATGGAAATGGCAAAGTCAAAAAAATATTATGGCACATTCCAAGCAAAGAAATAACATCTCCATGGAGACAAGCAAGGAGCAGACCCTCCATCAGAAAAATTGCACAGTGCACCTTTAAATGTATCCAAAATAACTGATAAAAATGTATATTTCAGAACATGTTTGAGATGTAAACTACAGAGTGAGCAGCTTTTACAAAGACTGAGACTACAGATTTATTTTACAACCTTTGCCATTTGATAATTGTGTCCATTCAAAATGCAGTTTCAATTAAATGATGATTAATCTTGCAGGACTAATATAGATTTATAATGTAAATGGGACTTTGTCAACATAACTTTGTCTTAATCGGTGCAAAAAGTAAAATCCACATTGATCCTCCCTAATATTTGTATTTGGAGCTGGTTGTCACGGTGACATACACATTTGCTTATAAAGGGAGAAGAGGAAATAGCATTTGATTGTGGATCCTGGACACAGAAACAGATTTAATTACAAAGTGCCTGTTTTTTGTCACTCCAACGAACCAGAGCTAAATATAGAGAAAGAGAGAGAAGGAGGAGAGACAGACCAAGAGGGAGAGAGGGAGAAGCGGAGAGGAAGAGAGAGAGATGGAGATGGAGGAAAAGAGAAAGACCGTGAGAAAGTTAATAGAGGAAAAAGAGAGTGAGAAAAGTTAATTTATCTAAAACTGTAAACAGCTTTAATGATACGACTCTGTTGTGTCTGCCTCTGTTTATCTGGGTCACTGTAACTTTAATCATTTCACAGCACATCTCTATCAGGCCAATTCATCAAAGCAATTTGATTCATTTGTGTTTTTAATAATCAAGACTTTGAACATCAAAAATCATGAGATCGAGGATTATTATGACAGATTTGCCCATGACAAAGCAGTGTTACTGTGCAGATGACATCTCATTCTAAGTGAAACTATTAAATGTCAGTTTACAGATTGTGAAATGAAAGGATATGATGAGAAAGAAAGTGTAAAGAGCAGTCCCTAAATCTATGAAAATCAGAATCTTCCAGTGTGTGCAAATAATGTGCAAAACAGAGATTAATTTTTTTGGCCACATTGCCCAGACCTTATCTCTGTCTAGATATGAAGCTTCTTAAAATAGTGGTGAAGAGTAGGGAGAGACATTCAGCAAATTGTTGAAGCCAAGATTCAAACAAACCACTTTCACAAACCACCAGAGCCAGAGCAACACTGACGAAGAGTTTAGGAAATAAAGATTCCCAAGGTGGGAGAGCTGTACCTTTCTCTGTTGAACTTGAGCGAGTGGAGCACAGCGGGGATCTTCTGTCTCAGGTTCCACAGATGAAGACTGTCATCAGCTAAGGCACTCACCAGCGCCCCCTAAAGCCCACAGACAGGAAGGACGAGAGGTGGGACACACATTAGGAAATCCAAGAGTAACTCATCAAGAGATCAAAGACGATAAAGCTAACACCAACTAGCATGCTAACTAGTAACTTCCTGATTCTAGGAATATAAAGTCAGATGCAGACAGCACCCTGAGAGATGTTTAATATCTCTGAACTGGGGCACATTTTGCTCAAATACACGCCTTTAATGCAGAGAAACACTTGATTTTGTTCATGTTTTCTGATAAATAAATGATCAAATGAACAGACCTCGTTGATGAGGAACTGCAGCTGGATGACGGCTGCTCCGCTCTCGTGTTGGCAATAACACTCCACTCCAGCTCGACCGAAGCTACAGACAAAAGTCAAGGAGAACACCACAGGAACATACAGGACAACATGTAAACACATAATAACTGTCATTATACAGGAGTGAAAAAGAGCCGCTTTGTACCAGGGCCCAGAGCCGGGAGGGGCCCACACAACATCAATAACATGAAGATTTCATACACACAACATGTGATACGGATCAGAACTACACCGGGACTAAACCAGGACTAAGCCAGAACTAAACTGAGACTAAACCAGGACTTAACCGGGACTTAAATGGGAATAAAACAGGACTAAACCGGGACTAAACTGGGACTAAACTGGGACTAAACCTAAAGGACCTAAAAACCAAAAACAGGACTAACCAGGACTAAACCAGAACTGAAGGAACTAAACCAGGACTAAACCAGGACTGAACCAGGACTAAACTGGGACTAAACCAGGAATAAACCAGGACCAAACTGTAACCTAACCAGGACTAAACAAGGACTCAAGTGAGACTAAACAGCAACTAAACAAGGACTGAACCAGGACTAAACCAGAACTACACCGGGATTAATCCAGGATTAAACCGAGACTTAACCAGAACATAAGCGGGAATAAACCAGGACTAAACCAGGACTGAACTAGGACTAAACTGGGACTAAACCAGGAATAAACCAGGACCAAATCTTAACCTAACCAGGATTAAAGTGAGACTAAATCAGGACTAAACTGAGACTTAACAGCAACTAAACCAGGTCTAAACCAGAACTACACCGGGACTAAACCGGAACCTAACCGGGACTAAACTGGGACTAAACCAGATCTAAACAGTTTGATCATCCAGGAGTGCATAAGAAAAGTAGAAACAGAAACAGAGGTTATTTGAGTCCATTCTAAACTAGAGGAAGTGAAGGTCTAACAGGATCTGAGATCAGGTGAACAGTCTGAAGTCTGAACAAACGAGGGCGAGGTTGGACTAAACAACAGGCTTCACTGGAAAAGAGGGATTAAAACTGGAGGATTAATCACAATCGAACTGAAATTTGAAAGGAAACAATTAGCAAATCACAAAGGCTGCAGGTTTTGAAGTACCATAATTTCCTCCACAAACAACAAAATCTCCTTCTGCATAAAAGCTGCTAACATTGAAGTAGATCTGTATACACATGTCCTGAAATGTGATCCTTGTTTTAGTTTGTCAGATCAGATCAGATTTCAGTCTTTTTGTCAAATTCTTCAGCATTCTACCATGGCCTAAAGTTCACAAGAGACAATTTAGGCAAGGCAAGGCAAGGCAAGTTTATTTGTATAGCACAATTCGTACACAAAGTAATTCAAAGTGCTTTACAGAATAAGAAATACATTAAAATCTTAATAAAAACAAATCAAAACATAAATAATCATGAAGATTAAAATTAAAAAAGAGAGAAGAGTGCGGAATGAAAACCTTTCAGTTATTTGCACAGTTAAACAGAAATGTTTTGAGTCTGGATTTAAACAGCGTCACAGAAGAGTCTGTCTCACATGTTCAGACTGTTCCAGGTTTTAGCTGCATGAACCTGAAACGCTGACTCCCCTTGTTTAGTCGTGACTCTGGCACCAGCAGGAGGCCGGTCCCTGAGGTCCTCAGAGTGCGAGATGGTTCATATGACACTAACATGTCACAGATGTACTTTGGTGCTCGGCCATGGAGAGACTTGTACACAAGCAGAGCTGCTTTAAAGTCTATTCTCTGAGGCACAGGAAGCCAGTGCAGAGACCTGAGCACAGGACTTATGTGCTCGTACTTCCTAGTTCGAGTAAGGACCCGAGCTGCAGCGTTCTGGATGTTCTGCAGCGTCTCACAGCTCGTTTGGAGAGACCAGTGAGCAGACCATTACAGTAGTCTAACCTACTGGAGACAAACATGGATAAGTTTCTCAAGTCTGATTTAGACAGTAAACCTTTGATTTTTGCTATGTTTTTTTAGATGGTAAAGGCTGCAGATGTTATTGATTTGATGTGGCTGTTAAAGTTCAAGTCTGAGTCCATTATTACCCCTAGATTTCTTGCCTGATTTGAAGGTTTTAGAGAGAGAGACTGGAGGTGACTGCTGACACTGTCCCTTTGTTTCTGTGGACCAAACACTATGACTTCAGTCTTGTCAGAGTTTAGCTGGAGAAAGTTGTTTTGCATCCACACACTGATCTGTTGGATGCAGTGACCAAGTGACTCCACTGGTCCATAGTCTCCTGCTGCAGAGAGACGTAGATCTGAGTGTCATCTGCATAATTGTGGTACGACACGTTATTGCTGCTTATTAACTGGCCTAATGGCAGCATGTAGAGATTGAACAACAGGGGGCCCAGGATTGACCCTGAGGCACCCCACAGGTCAGGGCCATGTCATCTGAGACACAGTTTCCAAATTTCAACAAAATACTTCCTGTCTTCTAGATAGGACTTGAACCAGTTTAGGACAGTACAGAATGCCCACCCAGTCCTCTAGTCTCTGTAAGAGGATCCCATGATCCACAGTGTCAAAAGCAGCACTCAGATCTAACAGGATCAAGACTGAGACTTTGCCTGCATCAGTGTTCAGGCGGATGTCATTTGTCACTTGATAAGAGCAGTCTCAGTGCTGTGGTGGCTCTAAAACCTGACTGGAAAACATCAAAGGAGTTGTTCATTTGGAGAAAGTTCGTAAGCTGTTGGTAAACAGCTTTTTCCAGGACTTTGCCAAAAAACGGCAGATTTGAGATGTTCAGTTCTGTGGCATCAAGACTGCTCTTCTTAGGAGAGGCTTAATGACTGCAGTTTTCAAGCATTTGGGAATGTTCAGATTGAGTGACATGTTAACTATGTGAGTGAGTGGTGAAAGTAAACTGTTGAGGACGGACTTTAGAAATCTAGTGGGTAACATGTCCAGGCAGCAAGTAGATGAACTCAGACTGGTAACGATCTCTAAAACAGTTTTGTCAGTTACAGGTGCAAAGTGATTCAGCCTAAGTGTCTCTGTGGCTGCATGCTTGTTATTTGTGTTGTGGAATTGATGGCATTTTTGATGCCCTGAACTTTGTCATTAAAGAAAACTGCAAACTCATTACATTTAGATGTGGAAAAGTTTAGCATAATATAAGACCTTTAAAACATAAATCACAAATGTAATCTCAATCAAAACGCTTTTCAGAAAATCACAATGAGATAAGTTTCCCAAATCATTCAGCTCGTGGAGGTATTTTTCACTATAAAAGCCTCTGGAGCTCTGGGGGGGACTGGGGCCGACTGAAGCCTGGCGCCGGTGCTCCTCGCCTGGGCACTGAACTCAGAGTGGCCCCTGACCTTTGCTGGGCAGTTTGGAGCAGAGGAACATTTGTCAGTGTTACTGATGTGAATAAAAGTGGAGTGGAGCAGAGAGGAGAGCTGCTCACTGATCTGGCAAAACCAAGAATTTAGAAGGTACCGGACATCTACAGTATATCATCTTTGAGTTATATTTAAAGCATTTGTCTGGAATGTTTTACAGTATGGTATTAAACCTTTCTATCTTCATGGAGACCAAACCAGACCAAGTTACGGGTCAGATCTGTGGAGAGGCGACCCTGCTCACAGTCAGAATGTCTGTTTTCTAGAGATTTTTGAGCTCTCTAATTTATGTAATTAATGTCTCTCTCTCTTTTTTTATTTTAATCTTTAATTTTATGATGATTATTTATGTTTTGATTTGTTTTTATTGTGATTTGAATGTATTTCTTATTCTGTAAAGCACTTTGAATTACTTTGTGTACGAATTGTGTTGTACAAATAAACTTGCCTTGCCTATAAAACCATCTGTAACTGAATAAATGTAAAGTAGAGCTGTTTAAAGTCACACTGTGGAACATTCCAGGCAGAGCAAACAAGCGTGTCATGGACCCTCCACCAGAAAAGTTACACAATGCAAGTTTAAACATGGAAATTCTGATAAAAACAAAGATTTTTTTTTTTTAATGCAGAACCTTATGAGGGCAAACCAACGCACTGAAACACACTTGTAAATAAATTCTACTTTAATCATACTATAAAACTTCTCAAATGGAGGGGAGGGTCCACCACCTTCTAGTAGCCCTCTGCATCGGGAGTGGAGGTCAGCTGTGGTCTGCTGGGTCTATCATGTGGGCTCCTGGTGGACTGGTGGTGCTTGGGCCTCAGGTGCCCGGGCTCCTGGCTCCTGTGGTGGTTCCTGGTGGTGGTGGACGTCTCTCTGCTCCCGGTGCAGACGCCTCCTCTGATGGTGCTTTCTCAACTGGTTCGTCTGTATTCAGCCTCACATTTTACTATGTCCGGTTATGTATTTTAGCAGGTTAGTGTGTGTGTGTGTGTGTGTGTGTGTGTGTGAGTGTGTGCGCATGTTTGTGTATATGTGAGTGTGTGTGTTTGGGTTGTTTGATTGTGTGGGGTTGGGGGTGTGGGGGTTGGGTTGGTGGTGGATGGAAATGTGGGATTGTTTTTAATCACTATAAAGCACTTTGTGTTGCATTTTGTATGAAAAGCTCTTTATAAATAAAGTTTGATTGATTGACTGATTGATTCTAGTCTCCATGGAGATGTCTAGAAAGCTCCACATAACAGCGCTGATCCATTTCCAAGGCGAGTGATGGGAAATTACAGGTCAGATCTGTGGAGAGGTGACCCCTCAAGCACTTTTTTCTATGCATCTTTTTTTTTTTTTTTTTTTTCAGCAATAAAACCATCCGCACCAAAATAAAGCAAGGTGCTCCATACTGTGGAGCAATAACATCGCCATGGAAACAAGCAAGTAGCAGAGCCTCTACCAGAAAAGTTACACAGTGCCTCTTTAAGCGTAAACATTTTTAACTAGGACTTTTTTCTAATGTCGCATACAATACTACACCCTCTTTACTAGGGGTTAGGGGTGTACAAAAATATTGATATATCGATATATCGTATCGCTTAATATGATGATATAGTATCGATATCATGGGCTGCTGTATCAATATATCACCAAGAGTATTTTTTGGTATATTTCACTAAATTATTCAGTTACAGCTACAGTTGT